CCAGTTACGTATTGTTTGCCACAGATCCTACAGTGATTGGTAGAAAAAAAAAGCGAAATCTCACAAACCAAGGTATGTATTTCTATTTTTATTATAAATTTTTTTTAAAAAAAAAAAAATCTTTTTGCTTAAGATTCAACCACAAACTTCTCTGAAGAAGATTTAAGCGCCCAAGAGTTGATAGATTTCTCTCCGATATACAGGGGGTTGCACATAGCTCATGCCTTAGGGAAAGTTTCAAACTTTGAAGCGTACTACAGGGCAGAAAGAACTAAACAAGCTAGGTTAGTTCTTCAACCACCAACAAATATGGTAAATTTACAATGTTTTTAATGTTAATTTATTACAAAAATGTGTCTATATTTTAGCATGAATCTGAAGAGAGCTATAGAAACTATATCTACGCAGTGCTAGGGTTCTTTATTTTGGAGGATCATGTTTTAAACACCGGCAGGGGGCTTATTACCAAAGCTTTTTTGGAGGATATGTGGAGTATGGCTTTGTCAAAAATAACGACGGCCTTACAGACACATTCAGTAAGTAATAATTCATTTTATTCTGTAAAACTGTATGATCGAGAAAAAAAAAACGGTGTCATAGTAGCCTTTGAGACTATTTTTTACGTGTCATATTAAAGCATTTTTTGAGGATATGTGGAGTATGGCTTTGTCAAAAATAACGACGGCCTTACAGACATATTCAGCAAGTTATAACTTATTTTATTTTGTAAAACTGTATGATCGAGAAAAAAAACAGTGTCATGGTAGCGGAAATTATTTTTACGTGCTTAAAACGTTATTTTATGGAAGAACATGATCAAGGAAAAAACGAGTTATCGCATAGAGTGATGAAATTGAAATTATTTTACGTGTAAATATTATTTTTTGGGATATGTGGAATTGAAACTTTTATCCCAAAATAACGACGACCACCACAGGGCCAAATTCGAATTCGTAATAGCAATTTTATTTTGTAAAACTATTGTTGAGAAAAAAAAAAAAGAACAGTCATGAGGAAATTATTTTTACGATGTAAAACGTTATTTGCAAAACTGTGATGTTGAGAAAAAAACGGTGTCATAGAGTAGTCATTGAAATTATTTTTTACGTGTAATATTAAAGCATTTTTTGAGGATATGTGGAGTATGGCTTTGTCAAAAATAACGACGACCTTACAGACACATTCAGTACTAAGTAATAACTTATTTTATTTTGTAAAACTGTATGATCGAGAAAAAAAAACAGTGTCATGGTAGCATTTGAAATTATTTTTTACGTGTAAAAAACGTTATTTTGTAAAACTGTATGATCGAGAGAAAAAAACGGTGTCATAGTAGCCTTTTAAATTATTTTTTACGTGTAATATTAAAGCATTTTTTCAGAATATGTGGAGTATGGCTTTGTCAAAAATAACGACGACCTTACAGACACATTCAGTACTAAGTAATAACTTATTTTTTTTGTAAAACTGTATGATCGAGAAAAAAAACAGTGTCATGGTAGCCTTTGGAATTATTTTTTACGTGTAAAAAACGTTATTTTGTAAAACTGTATGATCGAGAAAAAAACGGTGTCATAGTAGCCTTTGAAATTTTATTTTTCGTGTAAAAAACGTTATTTTGTAAAACTGTATGATCGAGAGAAAAAACGGTGTCATAGTAGCCTTTGAAATTATTTTTTATGTGTAAAAAACGTGTAATATTAAAGTATTTTTTGAGGATATGCTTTGTCAAAAATAACGACGGCCTTACAGACACATTCAGTAAATAAAAACTCATTTTATTTTGTAAAATTGTATTATCGAGAAAAAAAACAGTGACATAGTGGCCTTTAATTTTTTTTATGTTTAAAAAACGTGTAATATTAAAGTATTTTTTGAGGATATGCTTTGTCAAAAATAACGACGGCCTTACAGACACATTCAGTAAATAAAAACTCATTTTATTTTGTAAAATTGTATTATCGAGAAAAAAAAACAGTGACATAGTAGCCTTTAATTTTTTTTATGTTTAAAAAACGTGTAATATTAAAGTATTTTTTGAGGATATGCTTTGGCAAAAATAACGACGGCTTTACAGACACGTAAATAAAAACTCATTTTGTTTTGTAAAACTGTATGATCGAGAAAAAAAACAGTGTCATGGTAGCCTTTGAAGTTATTTTTTATGTGTAAAAAACGTGTAATATTAAAGTATTTTTTGAGGATATGCTTTGTCCAAAATAACTAGGGCCTTACAGACACATTCAGTAATTAAAAACTCATTTTATTTTGTAAAACTCTATGATCGAGAAAAAAAAACAGTGTCATGGTAGCCTTTGAAGTTATTTTTTACGTGTAATATTAAAGCTTTTTTGGAGGGTATGTGGAGTATGGCTTTGTCAAAAATAACGACGGCCTTACAGACACATTCAGTAATTTTTATTTTGTAAAACGGTATTAACGACGAAAAAAATAGCGTCACAGTAGCCTGTGAAATTATTTTTTACTCTTAAAAACGTTTTATGAAGTAGCTCTGAAGACAAAAACACACCCTGTATCTCGAAAACGAAGCATTTTACAAGATACAAGCTTATATGAACTTTTTCTCTTAAAAATACTTGAAAAATCACCCTGTATAACTGAGATATTATATGGTATAGTTTGCATATTTTGAAATCAATTTTTTTAGGCATATTGCACAGACGCTACGTTAATTTTACGTATTAAGGATCTAATTATGTTGTTTTGCACGACATTGAGGAATTATGGGTATTCTGTGAAACCACTTTGGGAATTAGTAAGAGAGCTAAGAGATCACTATACAGAGGTTCTTATGCAAAGATGGGTTCAAGTTTTTAGAGAAATTCTGTCCAAAGAAGATTACCAACCAATAGATGTATGTTTATGTTTTATTTTTTTTATAGGAAGAAAATAGTTTTTTTAATGAATTTTGTGGTATTTTAGGTACACAATCAAGAAGAATTTGAGCATGTTTTACTAACATTTCCATGGGATGGAGATTTGCCTGATGATGTCACTTTTCCGTATAGTTTTCCATTTTCCAGAATGGTACCCAAAATCTACCAGCAGGTCAAAGAGTTTATCTACGCCTGTTTGAAGTTTTCTGAAGATTTAAATCTCAGGTTTTATAAAAAAAATGTTCTATTATTATTTTGCCCTCTGTATATTTTTTAAACTCTAGCCAAGTGGAAGTGGATGAAATGATCAGAAAATCGATGAATCTCCTGCTCACTAGAAGCTTTAGCGGTTGCCTATCTTCGATATTCAGAAGTCCTCATGTCGGTTTGCAGGAAATAACACAAATAATCGTTGATACGGGGTATTTAGAAGATGCCAACGTATATTTGGATCAGTTTATATCAAATATAACTGGGTAAGGGATATTTTTTATATTTTTGAATATTTTTAACTTGATTTTCGAATACATATTTTATAACTTGATTTTTTGAATATTTTTCAACTTGATTTTTAAACTGATTTTTGAATATATTAACTTGATTTTAGAATATTTTTAACTTAATTTTTGAATACATATTGAACGAAACACCTATTCCCGTTGATTTTTTTAATCATTTTTAACTTAATTTTTGAATATTTTAACTTGATGTTCGAATTCATATTTTTTACCTTGATTTTTTGAATATTTTTAACTTAATTTTTAAATATTTTAACTTGCTTTTCGAATACATATTTTTTAACTTGATTTTTTGCATATTTTGCAGCTTCATTTAATATTTAACTTGATTTTTTGAATATTTTTAACTTAATTTTTAAATATTTTAACTTATTTTCGAATACATATTTTTTAACTTGATTTTTTGCATATTTTACAGCTTTATTTAATATTTAACTTGATTTTTTGAATATTTTTAACTTAATTTTTGAATATTTTAACGTGATTTTCTAATGCATATTTTTTAACTTGATTTTTTGATTATTTTTCAAATTCATTTAATATTTTGATTTTCGAATACACATTTTTAACATGATTTTTAAACATTTTTAACATACTTTTTCCAATATTTTTAAACTGATTTTTGAATATTAATTTTTAACTTAATTTTTGAATACATATTGAACGAAACACCTATTCCCGTTGATTTTTTTGAATATCTTTAACTTAATTTTTGAATATTTTAACTTGATGTTCGAATACATATTTTTTAACTTGATTTTTTGCATATTTTACAGCTTCATTTAATATTTAACTTGATTTTTTGAATATTTTTAACTTAATTTTTAAATATTTTAACTTGATTTTCGAATACATATTTTTTAACTTGATTTTTTGCATATTTTACAGCTTCATTTAATATTTAACTTAATTTTTTGAATATTTTTAACTTAATTTTTAATATTTTAACGTGATTTTCTAATGCATATTTTTTAACTTGATTTTTTGAATATTTTTCAAATTCATTTAATATATTGATTTTCGAATACATATTTTTAACATGATTTTTAAACATTTTTAACATACTTTTTCCAATATTTTTAAACTGATTTTTGAATATTAATTTTTAACTTTGTTTTTGAATACATATTGGGACAACGGCCGAGCTACCTATTTTCGTTGATTTTTTGTGTATTTTAAACTTAATTTTTGAATACTTTAACTTGATTTTTGAATATATTTAACTTAATTTTTGAATATTTTAACTTGATTTTCGAATTCATACGTTTAACTTGATTTTTAAACACTTTTAATTTAATTTTATATTGTATATATTATTTATATTGCACTATTATATTTTATATTTTATATATTATTTAATTGAATATTTTTAACTTAATTTTTGATACATATTGGGACAACGGCCAAGCTACGTCGAAACATATTTTTAACTTGATTTTCGAATACATATTTTTAACTTGATTTTTAAACATTTTTAACTTAATTTTACCAATATTTTTAACCTGATTTTTGAATATTTTTCCAAGCGAGGAAAGTCGAGGTGCCACAGTGGGCACCATCCAAGGCCAGTATGGCATGTTCCGAGTAGCCAGAGAGGACGCAGTGAGGCAAATCAGCGAAAAACTGCGCCAAAAACTTAACGAATTCCTAGAACTGGAAACGTACGACTGGACCCTAGTAGAACCTAAAGGACACGCCTCCAGCTTTATATCAGACATTATAGCGTTTTTACAGACTACTTTTCATAGTTTCACACACCTACCGGTAACTTAACCCCACTTTTTTTAAATTATTATAAGTAAAATAGAGTTTTTTATTTTTTTTAGCCCGAAGTAGCGCAGGTTGCTTGTAGATCGGCTTGTGAGCATATAGCAAAGTCCATGTTTGCTATGTTGATGAATACAGAGATCAGGCAAATATCTATGGGTGCTCTGAATCAATTGAACTTAGATTTACTACAGTGTGAACGTAAAAAAAATATTTTTAAAGTTGTTTTAATTGAATAAAATTATTTATTTTCTAGAATTTGCTGCATCTGAGCCTGTGAAAGGTTTACAGCAAGACGAATTGCTTGCATACTTTGCCAAACTCAGAGAATTATTAGATTTGTTCATTACTTGGGACTGGCCTACGTATTTTCACGATTATGCTCAAGAAACCAGCAAGTACAAAAAATTTCAGCCTGATATTGCTATAGTATTACTGGAAAAGTATGTTTTCTCCAAAAAAAATCTAGAGCTGTGTTTAAATAAAAATATTTTGTAGGTTAAAGGAAGGTGATAGGAAGAATATATTTACTGTGCTGAATAAGAATGAAAGGGATAAGAAAAAGCTTTTGGAGACTGTGCTGAAGCAGTTGAAACAGTTGTCAGTGAAGTAGTTGCTGGTTTTTCTTAGGTAATAAAAATACAGGGTGTACCAATATTCCCTGGACATAGAACTACTGCGTGTTTTTGCAATCAAAATATCATTGGACACAATTATTTACCTCTATACAAAAATGCTTCGTTTGTCCGTTACAGGGTATAAAATTTAAAAAAAATAAAATCATATTTTAAGATATTTTAAGTAAATAGTATTAACTAACTTTGGTGATTAGAAAAAAACAATTATTTGATACTCTACTATCAGAACATAAACGAAAATAAAATAAAGAAAAGTTTACCCCGAGCCAGTATCGAACTCGGGACTTCTCGCTTTATAGGCGGACCGTTTTCGCGCCGCGCTATGGAGACTTGTTCGATTTATATTCAATGCTAGAATTTAACGGACTAAAAAAAAGAGCTTCTTTCAATGCGCAGTAGTGAACACAACGTCTATCGGCAGCCAGACGACTCACACGCTGTTCCAGAGAGCATAACAAAATATTTATTAAAGAGAACTTATTACTCTCTTCAAACACTTTCTCGAAAACGCTGGTAGCTCTTAGACTATAACTTTTGTAACAATATACTTTGTTTCAGGATACTAGTACATGTTTGACGACAAGCTGGTCACTGTATGGTTCGCTCCCCACCCCAACTACTGAGCAGTAGCACTACCCGCCAGTATTTTGCAATGTACAGGGTGGGTAAAATTCGACGCTTTTAAATGGAAACACCCTTTTCTATAGGAGATAGACGAAAACTAATATCGGTGTCTGGAGCTCAACTTTTGTCAAAAATATGATGGTGAAAATTTTTAGCTAGAGTAATAAATTATAGTACAAGTTAGACCTTCTAGAAATATCAAAATATTTAATTTTTTATTTTTTATTTTGAATTACTACCTGATAACAAAAAAACATAAAAAAAAAATAATTTTTATTAAATTTTCGTATTCTCGCTTTTTAAGCCCGTGTATTTGGGTATTCTAGTTGTTTACGATATTCTCCGATGGTGGCACCATCGGAGAAAATGCCTCAACCCTATAGATTTTCTAGAGACTACAAGCTATAGCTTTGACAGTCTTTCTGTCTGTGCTTAATCGGTGTTTATAATTTGACGAAAATTATAACAAAAACATACTAAATTTAATTTGCTTTAAATCCTAATATATTGCATGTTTAATATACTGTAAAATTAATGTATTATTTACATATTACATTATGCTATCATATTGTTGATAGCATTTAAATTATTCTAATTAATACAAAACAATGTAAATGAAACGATATCGAAATTCAGTAAAAGCAGAGGCAAAATGTGATTTGATATCAATTTCCGGTTGGTTAGAAGAGATAAACATGTGTTATTATATTATTCATGACTATACCACAGATAAAGTTTACAAACATTTTTGTTATCAATTGATTTAGATGAAATTTGACTTCTGCATTAGTTTTTGATTTTAATTATAAAAAAGGATTGATAAAAATAAAACGGTTATACCCGTAATATTGATTGAGTATGTACTCATGAGTGGTAGGGAATCGTTAGTATGATTCTTTCGAATAAGTGCGATATATCCGTCATTGGTTTTGGGCCTTAGAAGCTCTTAAAATTAACACCGTCTTGTAACAAAAAAAGTAGTAATAAGATTGTGAACTTTATTTTGTTATATTTGCTCAAATAGAAAACGCCAATATTGTTTTTTTATTTCAAAAATCTTCGAAGTATTCGCAATTTTTAAGATTTTACGGTGGCATTTTGATCAAATTACGCAACTTTCTTCTATTTTCCGAGATCCCAATAATAAAGCTCGAATTTGCTACACTCTGTACAGGGTGAGTCAAATTCGACGCTTTTAAATGGAAACACCCTTTTCTATAGGAGATAGACAAAAACTAATGTCGGTGTCTGGAGCTCAATTTTTGTCAAAAACCCTTTTCACCTTCATGAAAACCGCATATCGATATCTGTTACCGTTTCGGATTTACAGGTTTTTCAAAAATATGCATTTTTAACAAATCGCTGTAACTTTTTTGCTATGGAAAATTTTGTATTTTTATGAAAACATTTCCAAAGCACCTTTTTACGTAGAATTCAATGGTTTAAGTATAATTTTTTTAACATTAATAATTTAAGAATTATCAACAGAAAATTTGATTTTTATACGGAACACCCTGTATATTTTTAATTTATTGAAAATAATTTAAAATTACCTTTCCAAAAATATAACACACTTGATATTTTGCTCGATTCCTCTTCGAGATATAGAGTATATAAAAATTCGCTCGCTTTAAATAAAATCGGCTTTGAAAGGCACCGGCTGTAATGCAAAAAAAAATTCTAGCTGTGAGCATCAACTAAAACGAAAATAACATTTGCTATGAGAGATGCAGAATTTTATAACAATTTAAAATATATTTAATCAACATCAACACACTTAAACTATATCTAGTAACAATAAAAATAAATAGCAAACCAAGACATGAGATTTTGCTACAGATGTTCGACATATCGACCGTCTTCTGTTATGGTCAGACGGGGCAGTTTTTGAACATTTCTCGCGAAATTCATTAACTCAGTGTGGGTGAAAGATACCTTTTCATAACTGCTAAGTATTTCTAATTCTTGTCTAGATTATACGGAAGAATAAGGAACCTTTATTCTTCGCAAATATATTCATAGGATTAGATCCATGGGCACTAAGTCAGGCGGCTTCGACGGCCAACGGCTGTGATCTTGGTTAGCTATTCAATTATTCTTGAAATTGGCTGCAAAAATTTGCTGATAACTTCAGCGTTCAGAGGCGGAGCGTAGTATTGCTAGAAAAATATGTTTTCGAGTTCCATTAAGGGTATATCATCAATAAGGGGTCCAAAGCCTACTAGTTAAAAGTGGCGAACTTTTAAAAATTCTGTATTTCGAAGGGGATTATAACAAAATATCAAGTGTGCTATATTTTTGATAAGGTAATTTTAAATTCTTTTCAGTTAATTAAAAATATAGGGGGTGTCTCAAATAAAAAATCAATTTTTCTGTTGATAACTCTTAAATTATTAATTTAAAAAAAATTATACTTAAACCATTAAACTCTACGTAAAAAGGTGCTTTGGAAATGTTTTCATAGTGATACAAAATTTTCCATACCAAAAAAGTTACAGCGATTTGTTAAAAATGCACATTTTTGAAAAACACCCAGTAACTCCGAAACGGTAACAGATATTGATGTGCGGTTTTCACCATTATGTTTTTGATGAAAATTGAGCTCCAGACACCGATATTAGTTTTCGCCTATCTCCTATAGAAAAGGGTGTTTCCATTTAAAAGCGTCGAATTTGAACCACCCTGTACATTCATAATTTTTTTGTCATTTTAGAACACCCCAGAAAGTGTGGCGCAGTTCCTTCACAAAGGCGAAGGCCTCAATAAAACAGCCATCGGGGATTACCTGGGCGAGAAAAACGATTTCAACGAAAAAGTTCTGCAATCGTTCGTGGATCTCCACGATTTCAAAGATTTAATTCTAGTCCAAGCTTTAAGGTAAGAACTATTATTTTTCCCTCTTAAGAGTCTATTTCACTAGTCCGAAAAAGGAGCAAAGCTTATTGAGCTGGAGGCTGGATAATCTATCTCCATTTTCTCCACCTCTTTAACTTGGTCTCTCCTTAGAACTGATGCCGGTGTTGTCCCGGTTCTATAACAAAGGATATATCTCTCTCTTCTCTATTCCCTCCTTGAATTTGAGATCAATGCATATTGTGGACCGGACCGTGGCTCTCCTTCCTCGATGACTCGCCAACTTGAGCCGCCAACTTGGTGCTCCAAGGTTGAGACCAAAGACATCTAAATGGGTAGACAGAACACTCCATTCATAAAACTCAATTTTTCAGAATCATACATGGTTTGACACTTTTATGAGAGTTAAAAGAGATGCGTACATAAATATGACAACACTGTTGAGTTTCGTCTATCTTTCTGTCATTTGGCTCTATCGGTGGCGTGATGTTTTTTTTATCAAAATTGATGAATTTTATCAAAAATTGATTGGGATTGTCCCAGACCAATTTTCCATTATAACTAGTTTTGCCTGAGGTCTAACTGAGGGTAACTCTAATTTTATTTCACAATCGAAAGCGCCAACAAATAAGAAAATATACGTATTTTTGTAATAATCTACTTATAACTAAAAGTATCTAAATACGCTACTGTAAGCATGGCTAAAGGTAAAAAAACGTAATGACACTTACTGTCGAAATATCAATTCCGAGTTAGAATAGTCCACCTTTTTACAAACTATGCACTGGCGAACCATCGTAGATAGTTAAAAAGTACTTTAAATAGTTTTCTTTGCAATAAACACTAATAATTATTAAAAAGTTGTTCAAAAGCTACAAAAACTTTCAACTACCGCAGAAAATTCACAACCGCGCGCTGTCAAATATAAGTTGAATGAAAACAAATGAAAACGACAAATGTCAGCATAATTCCTACAGATTTCGACAATTTCGTAGTAAAGATGAATCCACAGCGATGCTGCTAGTTGTCATTGTAATTTCCCTAATATAATTTAATTAGAAAACTAAAAATAGTTTCAAAGGTATAATCCTGGCACAATCTATGTATATTAATTAAAGTTATATACCTATACAAATATTTAGTTTTAACGTTTCTATAGGTACCCAAAGAACATTAATAACAATAATAACATTTGGAACTCGAACCGTATTCTATCACATACCGCGTAAATCTGTCATCGATTTTTGCGGAACACGGTTCGTGATCGCGATAAAATGTAAATTGTTTTGTCTCCCTTTATTTAGATGTCTTTGGTTGAGATCAATAAAGACTAGTCTTCTATCTAGCCACGCCCATCGCCACTATATCTCACTCATACTGTAAAAGTTGATATGCCGGACTGTTGTAAATATCTATTATTTTTTATGTTGCAGACAATTTTTATGGAGTTTTCGACTGCCCGGCGAAGCTCAGAAGATCGACAGGATGATGGAATGTTTCGCGAAACGATACTGCGACTGTCAAGGCGAGAACAACGTTTTTGAAAACTCCGATACCTGCTACGTGCTTTCGTTCGCAATCATTATGTTGAACACTAGTCTGCACAATCCCAGCGTGAAAGAGAAACCCACCATCGAACAGTTCGTGAACATGAACAGGGGGATAAACCAGGGACAAGATCTCCCAAGGGAACTCCTAGCTGTGAGTATTTCATAAGCAAACTAATTTTGCATTTTTATTCCATATTTTTATTCCATCCAATGCGACATTTTCAATTCTAACAACTCTTTATTGTAAAGATTTTAGTACCTATAAGGGAAATACTGTTATGTCTTCCATGGGCCCTTATATTTAAATACGCGATAGTACACTTAACTAATTTATTAAACAATTATTATCAAGTACAGTACAAGGTGTCCCACAAACAATAGCTTTCGGCTGTATCTCGAAAAGTATTAGGCGCAGGGAGAATGCTAAAGAGGCCATGAGAAATTGCTGGAAACTATCTCAAGTTTGTAGAACTGCCGCTAGAGGGCGCAACTGCTATGGAAAATATGAAAATGGAATTTTTACGATATTTTGCCTAGATAAATAGTACTATAAATATATAGCTTCATAACCTTCAGTAAATTTTGGATTGTTTTTGTTAGAACCATTTTCCCCCATCTGCTAAAATAAAGTGGTGGGTGAAGGTTGGATGTGTTTTTATTTAAATGTTCACAAACGAGGGCTCATTTGAAAGAGCGTTTGTTACTCTATATAATTCCATATAAACAATTATAATGTGCATTTAATAGTAGAGGTTAGGGGGCGCTTTCATACAATTTAACAAATAAATAAACGCGACAGTATGTAAGCTGATAATAAAGAATAATAAAAGCTTAAAATGTCAGCGAAAACCGCATCTTGATATCTTCTTTCAAACCGAAGATATTAGTAAAATTATAATAAATACGAAAAAATAAGCCCTTAATTACGTTATTTTTATATCACAGATCAATAGCCCTTTTGATTATGACCATTCTAATAAAAAATAAGATAGAAACAATTAGTTTACTCTAAAATCGACCATATACCAGAATACCAGATGTATTAATATCTAATAATTAAGACATCAATGACAGTGAAAAAGAAACGACACCTCAGTAAAGTGATGGTAGACCTTGGAAAAAAGTTGCCTTTGAAGTATTAGTTTCAGGGATTAGTATACAGGAATTTATTGAAGGGGGGGAGGGGGCAAAATAAAAAGTAATGTAGCATATGTTTTTTAGGGCGCCATTTTTTACCCAAAAGCCTAATATTTAACACAATTTGTTTAAACATGATGTTTTAGGGGGGGCCCGGGCCCCATGGTACTTTTCTTAAAATGTCTCTATTATTTGAAGAAGCAGTTGATAGCAATTATTGTTCTAAGAACAGTTCTGTAAGAACAATCTTGGTTTAGTGTTAGTTATTATTGTTTGGTTCTAGCAATAATTCTACTAACTTACTAAAGATAAAATTTCCTACCGAGGCTTTTGCGAGAACTACTAAATTCAATAGGATTTGTACTGAGATGGCAACATTGTCTCAGCCACACCCTAAAACGCATATTTCAAAAATAATGATGACGTAACATTGAACGATCGTTGGATATTCTCAAGTCTGTAGTGAAATCAAATTCTAACTAAACAAACGGTTATTTTGCGAGTGGATGTTGGGTCAAAACAAATCAATGCATATAGTCTGTCCAACGATAAAATCCTTGATAGTGATAGATGTGTCTGTCATTTTAATTTTGAACTAGTTTATATTTTATTTTGCAAAGAAATAAGTTGGTACAATTGGAACGCATGAAAATTAATAATTTATAATTTGAGTGACAAATGATTACTTCAAAATATTGCGTAAAAACTGTATAACTGAAAAAATCTAATCGAGTTATTTTATTAAAAAAAAATTACGGTATGTGTTAATATAAAACAAGCAAGGATGTATTTTAAAGAAAACACCACATTCCAAGAAAAAATATAAAAAAGATTTCTTACTTTCGAGCTCAAGCAACTTCCTGCAGTTTTTATTACATTTATCAATACCGTGCTGGCAACTGTTACTTTTGGGTCGGAACTTACATGTGTGGAAGTAAATCGCATAGGGATCTTATTAAGTCGGAGTGAGGAAAATGCGACGGTGTGCTGTTGCGGCGTTGCCGGTACGCCTTTCCCTGTCAGGTAAAGTAAAATCACGATCGCAAACCGCTTATTTTTAAACTACGTTTTTTTCAAAAATATAACTAGATAAAATCATTAGATATGTTTCTGAGCATCTGGTAGGGTAATCAATTATTTTTAATAGATTTTGAGATATCGATTCATTTTGAATTCAGAGTTCTAATAGCGCGACCACTGTCGAATACCAACTCAATTCCACTTATTTTTACCAAAAATGCAAGTGTTTCTAACTTGCACTTAAAAGTTTTCAAGCTCTGGGGAAAATTACGACTCGTTAATAAATAAACAAATAAAGTATCGCGAGACGTAACTAAATCGTGAAGCTGAACGCATGATGTACACCTTTCCCTAGAACTTTAGGTACTGATTGGGTCGACCAGTGGACTGCGACAAATATGCGATATCCCCTTCCACGTCTCTTAGCAATGTGCGCAGTTTTTCTGTTTATTTCGTGAGCTTGGCAACGTGTTTACTGTTCTCTCTTTGTTCAGTACGTTATAAACGCATTGTACTCTTCTTACATACGGAAATCTCGACCCAAGACTAAGCTTAGCCAACCCCAAATAAAACAAAATATTTTATTAATAATAACACTTACTGAATTTTATACTTTAAAAGTTGATTAACTAACTTTAATCTTAATTTTTTAAGCCAGTATCTTTTGACATTATCTCTCTGCAGTACTAAAATTTATTATTTACCTATCGTGTGATGTTACTTTTCAGATACTCCAGTGTTTGGTACCATATACGAGAATACAAACTTTAATTGTGGCTAATACAACTGTCTGACCATAGGCTCTGGCAAACTGTGTGTCTGGCGATCTCTGGACACCGAATATTAACTGTATACTATGTTCTGGGTCAACACTTCCTCCAATTTTTTCTCCACTTAATTTTAAAAAACACGAAACACGTAATAACACTGTCCAAAATGCAAATTTCAAAATATTTATCATTTATTATAACCTATAATTTTGCAAGAGTTTGACAACTCTCAAAAATCTTAAGTCGAGTTCATACGCATCGGCGTCCGTTTGTCGTTTATCGTTCCGTCAAACCAATAATATTGAAATATGACCTGTCATTTTTGAAATAAACCAATAAAACTGGTTAAAAACAACAAGGGATGACGGATTTATATATAAACCCATCCATAGTTAACTTAAAAAATATTAGAAACTTTTTTTAGTGAAATAAATGGATTGGTATGGACGTCATCTGATTTTTTTCTGTCATCGTCTGTCGAAATCTTACCGGAGAAAAAACAGAATATATTAGTCTATATTTTATACTAATGAAAGCTTACGAGACGTTCAATTCTTACAGAGTTTATATGAGAGCATCAAGGCCGAACCGTTCAAAATCCCCGAAGACGACGGCAACGATCTGATGCACACCTTCTTCAACCCGGACAAAGAGGGCTGGCTTTGGAAGCAGGGCGGTCGCTACAAGAGCTGGAAGCGACGGTGGTTCATCCTCAACGACAACTGCCTGTACTACTTTGAGTACACGACGGATAAGGAGCCGAGAGGTATTATACCGCTGGAGAACATATCAATCCGGGAGTGTCAGGACAGACAGAAACAGTTCTGCTTCGAGCTGTACGCCAGCGGCGGAGCGGACTTCATTAAGGTGAGTTAGTGAGTTTGCGGTTGAAGACAGACACAGTGGAGTATAATTTATACCAAATAAACTTCTAATTACGTCACTAAATTCGACCGGCACAGCGTTGCCCACTCATACATATTTTCCTTTAATCAAAATATTTTACGAAACAAAATGAATTCATTATAAACGTGTAAAAGTATTTTTTCCATAGCAACTGTTAAAATTGCTTTATATCTATCAAAAATAGTAGATAAAATAGTACTTTAACCACAAGGGTAGATTAAATGATACTTTAACAACAAGGATAGGTTAAAAACTTGGTTTCTTCTCGCACGTTTTTTAATTGCTTTCATTTTTGAAAATTTTTGTATTCCTTTTCATAAGTTATTCGGGATTTAAATGGAAGTAGTTTGGATATGGCGTTTGTCGCCTCAGCCTCAATATCTGTTGGTAATTTACTTATCTCGTTTTGAGCCATTTCCTGCTCCAATTCAATCAGCAATCGACACGAAAGAGAATTAAAAATTATTGACTCAAAACTGACAACTAAAGAGACAGCTTTATTTATTTGTCAAATTACATAGAAACCAACTCCAACCGCCAACCCAGCACAATATTTTTTCTACTTGTAATAAATTTCTTGAAATAACACTTTCTGATTATTTTTTAAAACGTAACTCGCTATGGAAAAAAATATTGTTTTATACACGACGATAAAATTGTCATTATCGTCTCCCGAAGTTAATTCACACGCGATTTCATCGCTCGTGAATTAATCTTTTCGATCGACGATAAAATACCATTTTATCGTCTTGTATAAAAAATAACTATTGTCAAAGGACATCAACGGCTTTTAAACTGACCTCCCTGACCACTTAAGGGATATATAGCCTTGCAGTCCGACTAGTCTTCATTAGGCATTTTGCAAAGCGACTGAAAACAGATAGGCTCTTTGTAAAATATCCTTCTTTTGTTAAAAACGCCGGCGTTTTATAATAAGCCTAGTCTTTTTGCAAAATACCGAGTTATTCGATATGCCTGCGACATACATTAGATGGTCCGAACTCTATTCCGGAAACTTCGGCAGCATATTCTACAGATAAAAATAAGTAAAAAAATGAGTGTATGTCCTAAAATGTGCTTAGTTTCGGAGATACAGGGTGTAGAAGTTTCATTTTTATTTCGATTTTTTCGAAATAATTTCTGAAGTAACCTCAATATTTCGATGAAAATTAATGTCTGGGAGTTTTTTGACATGAGAAATTTGATTTTTATGTCAATATGACTCCTATTTTTAGGGGCGCCACCTACACGTGTTTTAACTGTTTTGAAAAGTAATAACTTCTTGTTCGTACCTGTATAAAACTGCTGAGAGGAAAAATATACATTTCCGTGATTTTTTACGTAAAAAATGTCTCTTTGTAAAAATCGATACGAGCAACCGTTGTCAAGATATTTAGAATGTTAAAGAAATAAAATAAGTCCTAAAAAATTATGATAAAACATTTTCTGTTCAACTTTTGGAACAAAAACACTTCAAATTTATGATTTCAGCCTAATAACTACCGTATGATCGAATAAAAACGGCGTCAGCGATGGCTATGAAATGACAGTCGATGACATTTCCCATATAATTTTACATATAAAGTGAAAGCGATCTTCATTTCATAGCCATCGCTGACGCCGTTTTTATTCGATCATACGGTATTTAGTCAACGTTTAATTTATGTCAATGATGACAGGTATTGGTAATTTCGATTCCAAATATCTCGAGATCCATTACTTGTAGCGATTTTTACCAAGAGACCTTTTTTACGTAAAAAACGTCGTAAATGTGTATTTTTTTACTCAGCACTTTTATACAGATACGGACGAAAAGTTATTACTCTTCAAATCAGTTAAAAAATATGTAGGTGGCGCCCTCTACAAGTAAGAGTCATATGGACATCAAAATCAAATTTCTCATGTCGAAAAACTCCCATACATCAATTTTCATTAAAATATTGACGTTACTTCAAAAATTATTTTGAAAAAATCAAAATAAAAATGAAACTTCTACACCCTGTATCTCCGAAACTAAGCAGTTTAGGACATACATTTACAAACTTTTTTACTTATTTTTATCTGCCACCCTGACCACTCTGTATAATACCACAGATTATACAGATTATAAGCTTATCGTCAAAAGCATTGTTTTTCGTGGTTTCAATTTTCGCAGTCGCGCACTAATTAGGTTACTAGTCTGCGCACATACCACGCCTACTTATGGCCTCTAAAATTGTGCACAGTGCACAGTGCCTGACCGGCCCAGTTATTACGCTGTTTAAACGCGAGTTTATTTTTGCGCACAGGAAATTTTACTCGTTTGCTCATCGTCATAAAAAACAATTTTCGTACCACGAATTAGGGACAAGATTTTTATCTGTATACATATAGTATACCTAATCTGTGATAATACCAACAAACTGTTATTTAAATAACAGTTGTTAAGTAACAACCTGTCTTAATTTTTTTCTTTTTTCATGTTTCAGGCGTGTAAGACTGATTCAGAGGGCAAAGTTGTCGAGGGAAAACACACGGTTTACCGGATGTCGGCAAGCAGTGATGAAGAGAGGCGGGAATGGATCCACCGACTGACGCAAAGCATAAGTCACAACCCCTTCTACGACATGCTGGCTAGTCGGAAGCGGAAAGCGCAACTCTACGCTAAAAACTAGTTAATTCAATTGTATCTAAATTATTTATAATAAATTATGTAAGTTACACAGGTGATGTAAACACAGAGTGTAAATATATTGTCCATTAGTACGTTTAAGATGTAAATACAACGAATTGAAAAAATATTAAATATTTTTTTCTTATAAAATTGTTTTTTTATTCAGTACCAGTTAAGACCTCCAACAAATTTTATTAATGATATGTCACTGAGCAATCTATAATTTCAGATCTTACATATAAGATATAGACAAATCAAAGTAAAGAAAGCTTGATAACCTAAAGGCCATAAGTCTGTCCAACGGTACAGAGGGTACGACAGTGACAGTTGTGTCTGTCAATCTTTGTCTTTGACAGCAATGCACTTGGTGCTGGCATTCGCATCCTCTTTGAGTTGGGCAACTGTCTCGACCGCGGTAGTGCTATTCGCCAAAAAGCGAAGTTTGAAAAACTTGAAGAATCCATCTAGATGGAAACGAAATACTGCCATCACAGGAAGCTTCCCCTAGGAGATGCAAGAGCTTGTCGTTGGTGGGGAAGCTCTTTGTCAGGTGCTGGAGGAATCTCCTCTAGCACTTTAGCTCGGTCTAAGAAGCATCTCATTGTCTTGTCCCTGGCTGTAGTGTCATGGCCAGGGAATTGCACCAAGACATATAACGATGCCGGACGGGTCATACCCGTCATACCAGGCACCCTCTACTGACTGTGGTCATGTCTCGCGGGTAGAGGGTGTGGGGGGGTCTTGGCTTAACCGCCTGGACCAAGAGGAGACAACCTCACCAAAAAAGGTTAAAGGGATGAGTGACTAGATAAAGGACTAGCCATTACTGGCCTCAACCTTGGGGTATCAGGGGGCACCCCATTGTATTTACCCCTTACTTCTGCATGCGGGGCTCTATAGAAGTGGACCGACTATCCCTAGCAACTCGTGGGGACACTATGAGATCTAGTATTAAAAACACCACCTGTGAAGCTGTGGGGAAGCCCCCTAGCGACATTGGGAACATTACAAATGAAAGTTACAAGGGACCAAATCCAAAGGAAACTACAAGAGGGGCGGCTGACATTTGCTTGGGATCATCCTCCATAAGTGGCACACAAGCTACCACCTTCTCCAGCAAGGGTCGGGAGCCTACCTCTAGACCCAATAAGCGACATAAGCTACTGTTTCGTCTACTCGGCCTGGGTCAACCAGGCGAGCTAGACGATCCTCTGAGAGTAGGTCTTAGCGGAGCAGAAGCACGGAGATACCTCCGACTGCTCCACGAAGGACTTGCTCCAGAGGAAGCAAAAGCGAAAACACTCCTCCAAAAAGGGGAGAGCAAAGAAACCAAGAAACAACCTGACTCATCTCCATCAAAGGGCAAGAAAGGGAGCGAGAACCTCTCACCTCTTCTCCGGTAGGGAGAGAAAAAAGCTAGGATGGAAAGCAACACCGGGAGGCAAGCAGGGACGTATCACCAGCTTTGCCGCTATTGCTGGACAAGTGAAAATGGCGGTGCTGCCAAAGGATTTCCCAGAGGTTGCTCTGACCACCGACCAAACGTCTCTAGAAGAGGCTATACTGGACGAAGTAGTGGCATCGGATCGCAACACAAAATGTGGGTCAGCTGCGTTTTGCGAGGATACATTTTCGGGTGGGCATGATCCTCATAGATTGTGTATCTCAAGAATCGGCGAATTGGTTGGTGGAAATCGCACCTAAGCTTGATGATTATAAACCAGTTTATAATCATCTGCTGATGTTGCTAACATGGTTAGCGAAACGCGCGTCCAGTGTAAAAGTAAAAGTGTTTTGGTGTATTGTGGTGATTTAGTGTTTTATTTTGCTGTGTAATACCAAAGGTTCAAACCCTCAACTGTAATCTAAAACAACGACTATACATCAAATTTTATTTTTAGTTTTCTAGACAAAAATACACGAACACTGTTACAAAAATAATTTAAAAAAACACTGTGCTAAAATATAATATTGTTATAAAAAAAAACGTTTATTAAATAGAGTATATCATATTGTCTAGATATCTATAAAAATATCATATTAAAGCCTAAATAACACATATATAGCAATAGAGAGATTTCAATAAATACAAAATACATCTTTTAAAAATATTAATTTTTGTGTATAGAATATATATATTTTAGGCTGTTTTCTTTTTAAAAAGAGAAATGATATAAGTATAACAAAAATATATATAGCACAACAGGCACTGTATATCATAAATCTACGTTATATATAATGCACAGAGATGAGGTATATCTTAGTGTTTTTATATTATAGTCATTTTGGTCTATTTAAAGCTTGCAACAACATTTGTTGGTTTTAAAAAAATACATCGATCTAAAAGTTACTATAAACTAGGCTTTTTTCAGGTTTACATATAAAAATGTGTGGTTTTAGTGAAAATGCAACACTTAAAAACTAATCTTAATAGTAATATTTTTTTGTACTGCACATGATGTTGGATTTATTTTCACATAAATATGAACATTGCTTTTATAATAAATAATAATGTAGATACATATTTTGAAAACTTTATTTATTATTAGTGGTTTTAGACAATATTTTGTTAAATAAATGTTTGTATAGTACAGAAAAAAATATCACTACTTAATGTGTACCGTATGGTCGGAAAAAAATCCGTCACAGTAAGCACTGAAGTAACGTTTCAATGTCTATCTATACATTTCTTGGCAGAATCATCTTACTACTACACCAGAAAAATATAAATATGTAGTTTGTAAAGTAATTTTTGTTGGGAATTCATCTGAAGTCAAGTTCTTCACTGATAGACATAGAGAGGTTTTCTAAACTTTCTGTGACTTAAATTACATTTTCGATCACCACCTTATTATTAGGAGGACCCAAAAAACACTTGACTAAATTTATTATCGTAATTGTTAGATACTATTCAAACAAAATGCATAATACAGCATTGTATGGAAGCCAATTAGACACAAGTGCTTTTTTTGTAACCTCAGTATAGCCGGTAACTTATATAAATATTCGTTTTCAATGTACAAATGTGGTGAAATATGAAAGAAGCAGCTTAGAAATCTCCACGCCAGGTGATGAGCCCGTCAAGCAAAAAGAAGACTCCGTTGATGATGGCAAGGGAGCCCTTTGCCAAACCGTAGTCCCTCCATTCTGACTTGCTGTAGTCTTCGAAGTGCTTAATGTTTAGTGCCCCGGCCGCTACAAAGAGGGCACAGCCAGCCAAGCTGTAGAAAATGTCGATTTTCTTGCTGATGGGTGCGCTTAGAAGGTATCCTGTAAATAAAAAAATATATAACAAAACCATATTTTGTGATTTTGGCAGAATAACAATACTGGGGATGCCACCTAGTATCGCCCTAGTACTACCCCAACGTTTTTAACTGAACAGTGTTCGGTTAAAACCGGGCAAAATAACCGTAGTGTATGGGAAGCTTATACTATTTGGCTATTCTCCTGTTCTGCTCTGTTTTTAATTATATTGCTTTGTAAACATCATTTTTTATAACATGACTGCGACCTATTATTAGTGAAAAAAATCAACATAGGGAAATAATAAATAATCGAAAAGATTTTGTATTTCCAAACAAAAAAATATATTTGAAACTTATAGTTTCACACAATTTTTTTTGTTATATCATAGTTATATTAAAAACTCTATTAAAAGTTCTTAAATGTTTTCTATACACAAAAAAAACATATAAATAACCAAAGAAGACGTGAGAAATTTCTAATCTAAAACATCTGAGGAGGAAATTCGAAAAGTCTAATAATAGATTTAATGGGTAGTTGTAATCTTAGAAAGTCAGGCGACATCCTATATAGATTCAACACTTATTCAGAGTCTATACAGGTTGAAGTAACTGAAAGTTATCAAGAAAACAAAAATATAGTTTAAAAAACATGTAGATTTAATCAATTTTTACAGCTTTTATCTACAATTATTATAATTGTATAAAATTTCGAATTTCTATAAGTTATCAGAGGCTGCAAAAGCTATTTTTCAACCACAATCAGTAAAACCGCAGATACGTACATGATTATAAAATTAACAAGAACTCGAGCAAGCAACTAATATAGTGTCTCTAGTGTTTTAAAAACACTTAAGTCAAGTCATTTCTAAAATCAAAATGATTTAAGTCTTCAGTCAAATTCAACATAAAGTTTAAATGATTTAAATCTCAATTCTTTGGCTTAGGTCATTTTATTTCAAGTCAAGTTTTTATACTATTATTTTTGTTTACTTGAAAGACAACAAACTCACCAAGCATTGTTTTTTTTTATTCTAGTGCTTGGCTACCAGTTTTAAAGGAAATGCTGCTGTTAAAGATTTATCATAAAAATATTTAAAAATCTGACTTAAATCTTTTATAAAAAGACTTAATCTATTTAATGACTTAAGTCTTTCTAGGCCAGTCGCCAAGTATTAAAAAATAGCTTATGGCGGGAGCAAATCCGGACAAGCTAGAATAAATTTTATTTTGTTTAGTTTAGTGTAAGGAACCACGTGTTAAATTTGCACCACCCCCAAAGCCCGGCTTTGGCCGCCATCTTGAGAAAAGTGACTAAAATTCGGTTTATTTTTCATTATTTGTCAATAACTCGATTTCTATCAACTTTAGTGTAAAAAATGCACAGACCAAAATTAAAGAAGAGGAAAAACTCTATAAAAAACGTTCTATATACTTTTTCCGTGTGACGACGCGTTGCCAAGTTATCTCGGTTTAAACACGCTAAATATATTATAAGCAGTTATTATTTCCTCCATTATTAAAATTCATCACCGGAAATTTATTTTGATGAAAAAATGGCGTCAAGAGTGTCTCAGGGAAAATTCTTATCAAATGAGAGGAACAAATGTCGAATAATATCAATGATATATAATCGTTTGACGAACGAGGGCTTCCAAGTCAAGCCAGGCTGATGAAGATGCCGACACATTAATTGTCAACACTGCAATTGAAGAATCAAATCACAATGAAACGGTAATAATTATAGTCGGCGAAGATACCGATTTACTTGTAATTCTTACTGGCCTTAAATGGGTCTCGGTCAAATATTTATTTTCTAAAGCCAGGCAAGGAGAAGTCGCAAAGTAGAACGTATGCCACCCCATAATATGAATGTAGATGCTTCAGTTATGGACAACATTTCATTTCTCCACGCATTTAGTGGCTGCGACACCACATCCGCATTATACAGACAAGGAAAAATTAAATTCGTTAAAGTTTTACAGAAAGAAAAAGAATTATTATAGACAGCTGCACAAACTTTCAAAGACCCAAACGCATCCCTAGAAGATATAGAAAAAGCTGGAGAACGATTTCTTCTTCATCTATATGGATCCAAAAAATGCGATTCGTTAGATAAGTACAAATACCAGTGTTTATTAAAATATATTACCAAAAGCTTACCAAACCTAGCATCATTACCACCGACCAAATCCGCAGCTCGCTTGCACTCCTTCCGTACGTACAGTCAGGTACAGCTATGGTATGGAAATGAAAATCACCTCTGGATTGGGAATGGAAAAATTCAAAGAATGGGTTGATGCCCATTGCTACTTCCCAAGATGCAGTTCCCCAAGGATTATTAAATTTGATATCATGTAAATGTGCCAAAGGTTGTAATACATCTTGTAGTTGCCGCAAAGCAGGTTTGCTTTGCTCGGTAATGTGTGCACTTGGCAAATCATTTTCGAATAGTTTGGAGGTGGCAAAATTAGACGAAGATGAGTACGAGGACAAGTTTCCTCTCGATAAAGATCAAATACCAGGGGAATATCAATAACCAGATCCGGAATGTGATACAGATGTGGAAGACATTCGGAAGATTATATTGAATAGCCAGTAACATCAAAAAAACGAAGGAACTCTCATGAACCTTCCACCTCAAAAGAAACCTAAGTTGACGACATGTGGATTAGGCCTACTGGAAATGGGGATACCACTCAAAAAAAAACCGCGCTGCGTACTTTACCTCAAGGCATCTCCTGAGAGATAAGGCGGTTAAACTTGATTTTCCACCAGTCGCGCAACAATAAAAATTTAGTCCGTTATTGCGGTCATAATGCAAATTGCGTTCTTCCATTATGACCGCGACAGCAGGCTACTGCCAACTGGTAGCAAACAAGTTTTTAGGCTTTATGTCTCGAGAGTGCTGCTCAAGGTGGTGTGGAAACAAGTACAGTTAACTCCGGATATATTGAACACGTACATTATATCAAACTTTAATTTTGTTTTCGTAAAATTCGATACTTTGGGTAGTCGCACGAAAAAAAACCATACAACGTTTTTTATAGAGTTTTTCCTCTTCTTTAATTTTCGTCTCTACATATTTTGCACCAAAGAATATACCTAGCTAGAAAAAGAATGGACTCTGCCATACTGAAAAATGGTCCTACAGAAGTGGCGCCATCTATTGAGTAGGGCTTGTTTTAAATGGATCGTAGCGCGGGCTTTTTAAATGAGCGTATTTATTGAATTTTACTCTAAAATATATAATTAAATTTGATTATTAAATCTTATCTTTTACACAAATTCAACAATACTAATAACAAGTATTGTTGTGATGTGTAAAAAATAAGATTTAACAGTATAATTTATACAATTATTAAATAAAATTAAAGGCAAACATGTGTAAATATTATTTATTATTTAAAGTTTTTATTTATAAATCAAATATTTAAACATCGTTTATTATAATAAAACAAGACCAACATAATACGCCCAAAGTTTTGTAAATGGAGTAAATATAAATATGTACTTAAATGACAAAAATAAAAGACTTACATTATATTTTTGGGCCACAAACAAAAGGAATTGTCTAATTAAAACACATATAACAAATTATAGTTTGAAAAACGTTTTGATAATCATTTGATAATATTATGATTGGCGATGACAACGACAATATTTTTGAATTTGACAATAGTATGACAATGGCCGTTGGAAACTATGGAAACTATAAAAAAATCTGATTTAACGCCATCTGGCAATAACTAGTAGCAACTTCTTAACCTAAAAATTAATTGCACTACCACCTAGCGCCTGAGGCTGGAACTATTTTATTTGAAATTTCCGTGGAAACGGTGGAACCGCCTTTGCTATTTCACTTTCCCGCCCCTGATTTTGCACTAAGTTGATAGAAATCGAGTTATTGACAAATAATGAAGAATTTTAAGTCTTAAGTCACCTTTCTAAAAATGACTTAAAATAAAATGACTTAAGTCATTAAAATTATTTAAATAAAAAACACTTTTTGTGTTTTTTGTGAGCTTGCAGCTTTGATCACAGTGACAGTTATGTCTGCACCCGTAAATTGTATTTTTTCTCGTTTTTGGATATCGTCTGTCAAAATTTTTCCTGACTCTAATTTTCCCTGATTATTTTTGATGAACACTAATTTGGATTACTTGAATAACTTCTTTATATATACACCTAGGCTAGGTGGTTAAGTAAGAACAAGAATAACACAAAAAATAAACAAATATATTAATTTTACCTGCAAATCCTCCAATAAGAATGATTACAAAGCCACCAAATGTAGCTGCAGATAGAGTGTCAACATTCCAATCACCAGTAGCGCTCTTGTGATGAAGACCAATGCATGCTATCGCCACAAGCTGTAAACAATAAAGAAATATTGAATTTATATTAGTTGCCTTCATATAAAATAAATATAATGTATCAACGTTAATGTAATATTAGTGTTCATATTATTTATAATTTGGTAACAAATTTTTTGGTGGAAGTCGTCTGTTCTCAATCGATGAACAAACAGTACTATCAAAAAACCATTAGGACTTCTAAGAAATTATGATAAATCCATCAAACATGACTAACAAAGAAAGCAAATACAACTATTAAAATTTCTGTGAGTTCGTTGCTTTTTTCTGTGTTTGTTTTGTATTATTTCTTGCTTTAGCCATAATTCGTTTTATACAAAGTGTACAATTCTGGAAAGATATCGTGTCAGAACTTTCCAGATCGAAGCTACAAAAATAGTTATTTGTTGCAGGATGCGCTCGTTCCCAAAAATAAACATGAAAAATAATGGGCAACAATAAGACGGCTGGCGAATGACAATCGATGATAATTTGGCAAGGTCAATCTCTAGACGTCATTTACTAAAAATTAACATAAAGTATGTCAAAAATTAACACTACCTAATTAAAAAAGGATATAACGTTTCCAGACACACATATCTATTTCCAAAAATATGCTTTTTCTCGAAATGTAAGCTACGTTATTTTTTAAAAAAATCATTTTTTCTCAATACAAAAATAAATTACAACCTTCTTAAGACCTGATGACGTGACGTCTAGGGTTTGACCTCGCCAAAATTATCATCAACTGTCATTCTCCAGTTCTAGCCGCCTTTAACGCGGTTTATTTTCGATCGTGTGGTATAAATTATGTCCAAGGAGACAATACAAGACAGTGACAGTTATTGTCTGTCATTTTAATTCAGAGTTAAATTATATTTACTGTCATTTTTTGAATACTGTCTGTAGTTTTTCTTGGCTCGTTGCGGGCAGAATCTAATATAATGTTAGGAATAAATAAATCAGTGAATTGGAGAATATAACTTAAAAAATAACTCCCATTGGTTCACCCAATATATTTATGCTATTATAAAAAATATAACTTAATTGTACTATGGTAATTAATACCACGTATACGGCTAATCTAAAGAAAATTATTGCATACAAATTTCAACATCCAAAAGAATATAAACTATCCGCATTTGGACAGAAGGACATATACGCGTTTCGAGCAAGGTCAGATTGATGCCATAAGAAGACATAATTGCTATTTTCTCGGTTAAGGTTAAGACTTATGACACACACACATTAACCAAAAAAGGACAAGAAGTCGGCCACACAAACTATACAGGGTGTGCAGCATTATGCAGGGTACAGTGCTTTAGCATTTGTTTTGGTAGCGTTCATTATTCTTAGAAAATTGACCAATTATGCACGATTCGTTATAATTCGCAAATTGGACTAAAAGCAAGCCAATGCAAATGTATGTGTGTCAATAAAAGTAAATTAAATAAGCACATAACGATTATCTAAAAATAGACATGATATCAATTTTAACAAGCAGAAAATCCACGAAAATATCTTTTTAGGTATAAACGGTTACGATATGTTTTCGCGTTTTATTGTTAGTAAACACGATATTGTTTTCATTATCGTTTAAGGAATATTCTGATGACTATTATTGTTATTTTCGACGAACAGCATCCTCAAATCATTATCAGCTTTTATTCAAAAGCCTTGTTTTTGCAAAAAATTACAACAGTTTGAATAAATAAATTAAAAAATTCCTGAGTATTTGAACCCAAGATGACCAGTGATAATAATTATTGTATTTTATGTCCAATTTTTTATTCTGCCAAGAGAATTCTAGAGACTTTATGATCTATACATTTTTTTTTATTTTTCGATATTAAACAAGAATTCCACATTGCAATAAACTTTTGTTTTGTATTTAATACGAAAAAATAGAGAATAGTAAAGATTTATGAAGTTCCAAAATGAAATACATTGTGTGGGAGTTATTATACGGTTGTATAAACAAACTATAATATTATGATGACGAATATTTTTGGGTATTTTCGAATAATTTTTATTTCTATTAATAACGATTTCTCAAGAAGTTAATCTGTGTAATTAAAAGAGTTACGCGTTTTGTTTCAAAATAAATGTGGGCATGATAAAATCGGTATGTACAGGGTGTCCCATTTTCGTGTGTTTTATAGAGTAAATGAACTGCAGCGAAATACACTTGTGCAGCTTTTAGCTAACACCAGATTCAGCTCATAACAAGTCAAATAAATAAAATAAAAAAATATATAGGGCATTCCATTTAAAAACATAAGTTTGGGTCGCATTCCAAAAATGACAGCTCCCAGCAAAAAACTAGTTGGATTCTGGATTCTGCGTGAAAAACTCTATGGAACTCAGTTTTCACATTTTCGGTAAGTTATAAAGTAACTGAGATACGAAGGGGGTCAAAAAATACAAGTAACATTTTCAGATTCGCCCTGTATGTCAGAAAGGCTAGTCAAAGGGCTAGGACAAATCTGTGTGGGTGTGTAGCATCTTTAGTTTCATAAAAAAGTAGTAAGGTGATGTGAAAACCGCACCTTTGTATCTCTACTCATAAACGACGAGAAACCCCATATAAAACATACGAAAATGGGACACCCTGTACAGAGTGAGCCAATCGCAGTGTAAGAAAGTCCATATAATTGAAAAAAAAAACGATGTCACAGTGGCTTTTGAATTGACAGCTGAAACTAGTTTTTGTTAGACGGATCCCTGTGTTTGTGTGATATAGATGAAAATTCATATAAAGTTGTTTATACTCTAATTGATAAAACCGCAGGTTTCACAGTGTATATGCTAGTTTTAGACGGTCTTCCGTTTTACCTGACACGTAAAACTGGCAGGTAAAACATTAGTGTAGATGGGACTTAAGAATAATAGTATATTATTTTTATTCCCAACCAGCATTTGGACGTTGGGACAACGTTGTGTCACGCGACCAAACGTCGGGGCGCAACGTCGGCACAACCTCGTGCCAACCCTAGTCTGCACTAGTTTGGAGAATAATTTTTGGGTCGAAACGACGTTGGATACCGACGTTGGCTAGAAGCCTAATTTAGTACAAACTGCCAACGTTGTTTAAAATCCTAATTCACAGAAATACAAAATTAATATGGCGTCTAAGTCGCGTTTTATCCTAAATTGGGATAATTATAGTAAAAATATTATTTTTATGATATAGTTAGAGACATATGTCAGATGACAGTGAAGGAAAACAAAAGTATTTAAGTGTGGAGGATGTTTGAAGATCATAATTATTGAAACACTTTAACCGACTCTGTAACTCGTTACCCAAGGCAAAAAAGTTAAACGCAAACCACTTTATTGATAAATGTATTGTTTCTACTTTGAAAAATACTAATGGGCCTTAAAATTAAAGCAGTTTTTATAAATTTTCTTGATTTTTTTTTTGTAAAATGAGAATAATTTATTCGCAGTCGAAAAAATTATTTCCGCGTGTTTTTTAGGGTCAAATATTTCAATGTATTCAAAAAGCAGGAATTGCTATTTTAGGAACGAAACATTTTCTTATTTAACAACATGGCGGCTTTCACTTTGTTGTTTTGGAGATTAAGATGGAGTAGTTCGAGTAGTCGCATACTGGACCATACTGGACTAATAAAGTCGCAGTTCAGCCAGGTTCAGCCTTAACAGGTAGTATACTAGTCGCAAGATTGCCTAATTTAGTCACAGGGTTGCCACAAGCTACACAATTGTGTATTTTGCTACACATTTGCTTCCATGACTGCACAGCTACACCACAATGGCCTGTGCTACACATTTTGAGAATTTACATATTTATTATAAAAAATAATACCAGAACAGTAAATCAGCTGACAAAAGCTATTTTTTTTTTGCTTTTAAGTTATCTAAGTTACATTAAAGCAAGTGAACTTTAAATTTTGAACTGACAAATATCATTATCGGTCATCTATTGGTCGAGTCAAAAACGGTAAATAGACAGGATTGCTTAATTCCTTAAATAATACATAACACGTACTTTGGCCAAATTCAGAGGCCAAATTTCACTGGAGTTCGGTCCACTCGTTGGCATACGTGAATAATATTCAATTCCTATTTCACTTTTCCTCCCATATCAGCAAGGACTGCAGTTTCTATGGACAAATTTGGCCGATTAAACAGTCCTGAATTGTTTACAGTTTTTAAACAGACTCCATAACCGGTCTAATTTTTCCATAAAATCGTTAGTTTCGCGACATCAATTTTGACGTCATTGCAGTATTTGCTGGAATGAGAAGAAATGAAATGGAAAATGAATATATTGACGTATACAAACGAGTGGAAGTGAGACTCTTATCGAGATTCGTAATTATGCTTTAAAATTTGGTGATTTTACGTCTTATTCTTGGTCTTATTGGATAGTTTACAATTATTGGTCATGGATTGCTACACAATGCTACACATTTTTAAGATCAAGTTCTGCACAATCAAAAATTTTCTTGTAGCAACCCTGTTTAGTCATCCTAGGGTCTAGCTTGTACCGCCCTCTATAATCTAAATAAACGAGGGAGTGGATAAACTATCGGTAATATATGTCGATGTATATTTAAATTTAGTTTTATATGTACCTTTCTTATGTCCCATTTTAATTAAGTTTTTTTTATAAAAACAAAAACAGCACTGAACTGTCTGACTGAACAGAACAATGAAGTGAAAATTTAAGATTTAAGGTTATGGTTCAATACAGTTGCAAAAAGGTAGTGACTCGACGTCCTACCAACGTAAGAATAAGGAAATCTAAACAACGTTGGAATTAGTAAAACAGACGACATTTGCATAACGTTAGAATAGGTCCTGAAACTGACGTCGGAAACTCTATATTGTCCAACGTTGTAACTACGTTGTCCGAATCACCTAAAGATGACTTAAGCAAAAAAGGTTACAAGACAACGTTTATTCGACGTCGCAGAAGCTTCTACTTTGCTGTAGTACTAGTCCAACGTCGGCACAACTTTATAAAAACGTTTAAATTTATTTTAATACCCAAGGTAGGGAGCTAACTATTTTTTGTAACTAATCCAACGTTATGTTTAGTAAACATGTGGTCGCAAGTCGTGAAAATGCTACTTGGAAGGAGTAAACATGAGACTTTGTGGCGAGGCTGCACGTTTGACATACAGCCGAGGCACAAAAAGTCGTTTTTACTCAGAATAGAACATGCTATTTTTTTCAAACGCCACAAATAATTTTTTAAACAATTTTAATAATTCCAATTAATATAAAACATTTAAAAGTCACTATATCGAAAAACTATGGTTACGCTCGTTGAATTTAACACTTTATGTCAGTTTAATAATATATTTTCGTACGTTTATGCTTAGTCGTAACAGTGCCTTACTTTTATGCCTAGGCGTTAAAATGACTTTTTTATATTGCCAATCACGTCGCAAAAGTTAATACTTTCGTGACTTTTGAAAAAACAAATTTTGGCGGTAAAATGATAACGATTTCTCATTCACGGTCATTCTGGTCATTATGGTAATATATGACGTCACCGTACAAAACTGCCCGTGCCTCATGATGTAAACATATCACGCGAGGATATGAAATAACTTCTATTTTAAATCTATGCTGCAATTTTATGGTGCAGAAACACAAAATGAAAGAAACTATTTCTGCGATGTTTGTAATAATTCATAGAAATGTTTTTTTTATTATTTTCTGAAAAATTTACGTATCTAATACGTTTTTTTTGAGTTGCATACCTTAATTTTTAAATAATAAAAAAAACGACAGCAACACATTGCTAACATGTTCAGTCCAGATGCATATTCAATGCATTCTTTATCTAATTTTCTTTTAACTAAAATATTGCATATTTATAACACTATTTTTTATGTATTGCGTTACATTCTATGAACGATGGCTTTGTTTTTGTGCAAATATATATTATTATTTGTTTAAGATTGATTCTAAATTCTTCTCCACAGCAACAACAAAAGTGCAGTAGTAATATAAATATAATTTAATAAATAATAATTTTTTTTAAACTTTTTTGAAAGAAATAATATTAAAAGAATCTGGATTTTTACTTCAATATACAGGATGACACGAAATATGGTAAAAAATACAAAATTTTAAAACATACAGTATGTCCCCGGATTGTCTTTACAAGAGGAAAAACTTTTTATTATTGAGATTATGAGAAAAATGCATTCTTCATAAAATTTTTGGTTTGTTCTAAAACGGTTAATCCCGTTTATACTATTCCAAATTTCCATACCGTTTTAGAGTAAATAAAAAAATATGAAAATATGATCGAATTTTTTCAAGTCCTAAAAATCAAAACGCGTTTCGGTGGTAATATATTTTCGATTTCATTCTTGGATAGATGGTTATTAGTAATTTTGATTAACGTCATATTATTTGCTATTGTTAAAGTTAATCCTGAATCTACCATCAGAAACAAAAAAAAAATACAAAAATTCACCATTCTAAACCACTTACATATTATGATCATTTTAGATTATATTTAAATTTGGAAATTTTACCCTGCGATGCCTTTGTATATTTACTGGTGTTCTAATTTTTGAAAAATAATTACTGACACATCTTTATTGTTATAGAAAAATAACAATAACAAGATTTTGTCATAAAAAACAAACATTTCATATTACTCGTTTTTTAAAATGTTTACTTAAAAATAAAACTTACCAACTCCAAAAATTTGATGATGGATAATCGACTGATCGCCATGGCCATTTAATTTTTAAAAGTCGCACTTGTTTGTTATTTGAAACGCACAATAACACAAACTGACGCTGCGTGCAGTGAATTTTCACACAAAATCGATGCACGAATACGCCTCTATGTGGAAAAGCTCGCTTCTTTACCTGAACCACACACCGACGTTGTCAAATCGTGCAGTTTTACACTTGCGTGCAGGATTTAATTTTAGATTGGATTGTTTTTGTTTTTAGTCCAGGAGGCAGTGAAATCTTTTTGTAATTATTTTCCCAATGGGTGACTATACAGGGTGGCGCACCTCATTCGCCTCGGTTGATTATACGAAAACGGAAAGATGAAGAAACAAAATATTTTATGGGTATATGTGGGAAGGCAATGTGCATAATTTAAAATTATTTTCAAATGTACATGGTGTATCAGAACTAAGATCCATACCAAAGTTATATTTTTTCTTATAGAACACCCGGTATTTTATTTCATTTTTGGATTCTTGGTCATAAAATAAGGCATTTAATATAAGGGTTTAATATGTTTAAAAGCTTTGGTTTATGAGATATTTAAAGATATTTAAATATACATGCTATAATAAAAAAGTTTTCAAAAAAATCCATTATGGGTATTTCGCCACTGTACTGCAAGAAAATCTACAAAATAAAACAATTATTTTTTGTAAACTCTTCTGCGTTAAACCTAAACGGACGCTACTTGTCAGAAGTTATGTTTACGGTAATACAAATTTGCCTAACAAAGAAAAAAAATGCTTAACGTTTCGGAAAGTTATCTCTTTCCGTCGTCGGAAGCAAAAAAAATACAAAGAATAAAGAAAAAAACTATTTAAAATATTTAAATTCAACTATTTGAGAAAAAAACAGATACGTCTACAAGAAACCGTTGACGTTCTGTTAAAATGACATTTTTAACTTGATATTTAAACTTCAAAATTAGCAATTACTACCTGATAACAATTACTTAATAAGGTAGGTAAAACCAAAAGCCCCAAAACTTTCTGTATGATTATTTTTAAATTTTACGTATATTATGTTTATTTATCTTGTTGTATCTATTGTTCTTTAAAATCAAAGAAATTTGCCTAACAAAGAAAAAAAATGCTTAACGTTTCGGAAAGTTATTTCTTTCCGTCGTCGGAAGCAAAAAAAATACAAAGAATAAAGAAAAAAACTATTTAAAATATTTAAATTCAACTATTTTTCATTTTGGCGTTATTAAAATTTATTCTGTGCCCAGTGTCCCAAGAATGCTGACAAATCTTAGATTTGTGAAAATCTGCCTTTCTTAAATAATCTTTATGTCTTTTAATTCTAACATTTAAGGGTCTAGATGTTTCACCAATGTAAAATTTATCGCATTCACAGGGTATTTGGTTTGGTTTGGTATATTACATTTTTTGTTTGTTGTTCTGTATTCATTGGTTTAGTATGTGATAAAATGGATCTAAGTGTATTTTGTGTTTTGAAAGATGTTCGTATGTTATATTGTTTTCCTATCCTTCTTATTTTTTCCGAAACGCCTCGTATGTATGGAATTGTAAGTTGTATATATTGTGTATTGCTATCATTGTGCAGGGCCGGATCTACCTACGGGCTGTTTGGGCTGCAGCCCAGGGCCCCGAGGTTACAAGGGGCCCCCAGGCCCCGCGAAAAACAATAGACCCATAGGTGGGAACTGTTGAATCGTGAAATAAAATTAAAATTCAGGTTAAAAAGTTTAAGCCAGACAAGATGGCCTTGCCACTATGATGCTGTCAAAGCCTTAAAAAATAATTATGATGACATTATGAAAATTTTCAAAAGTTTCAGCGAAAATGAGGTTGAGAAAGTTGATTTCCGGAAAGAGGCACGAAATTTATTCAATAAAATGGCGAAACTCGAGACTGCAATTTTGATTATCTTTTGGGAAGAAGTTTTGGAGAGATTTCATTTAGTTAATAAAAAAATACAGAGCCCTGGTTTAGACATTTGTGAAGGCAACAAGTTAATTGTTTCTTTAAAAGACTTTGTGAGCAACATACGACATCAATCAGATCAAATGTTACAGGAATACGACGAAAAAGCTAAAAAATTAAGTACTAGTGTAATAATAGACTACAATTACATAAACAAGAGACGCATTATCCCAAAATTTTCAGATAAGTCTACAGGTGAATTCTCAGTATACGGCGCAGAAAGATTTAAAGAGACACGTTAAAAGTTGCGTTGGATAAGCTGATTATGGATTTAAATAAAAGGAGACAAGTCTATGAGACATATAGCAAAAAATTCAAATTTTTAATGGATTTGCAAGACAAAAATATCGAAAACATAGATTTGGAAATTGCACGTCATATTATTGATTACTATCCCGATGACGTAGACGAGCATTTAGTGAATGAGTGCATTCAATTAAAATCGTACTTACTCCAATCTATGTCTGAGTCTTACACCTCTTGCAGTGACATTTTTATGCTCATGTATGAAAATAAACTTATTAACGTGTTCCCTAACTGCTATACCATTTTAAAGATTTTTTTAACATTGCCAATCACTAGCTGTGAAGCAGAACGCTCCTTCTCCAAGATGTCCTATGTAGAAAATAAATATAGGACAACAATGTCGAACCATCGACTAAATAATTTATCACTTCTTTCCATAAATGATCTAACAAAAGACCATCAAAAGACTTGGAATGTGATGACCAAATAACTGTCAATTTCTGTGACTACAACCTATCAATTTCTTTTACTAATTCATAATAAGTAAATAAATAAAATTGTTTTATTGTTTTTTTATATTCTTATAAAATATCACTATTTCGGTTTCTCTCTCACCCAAAGTTTGCCTGGAAGAGATTGCTACCACAGCAATAAGGTCGCCTTTTGTACAACTAATACTTGCGTAGATTTAAGTAACATTTATGTTACTTAAATCCACATATCACAAATACCGAAGTCTACAGCAGAATAGGCAGAAAAAGAGAATTGCTCAATATAATAAAAATAAGAAAAACATCATACTTAGGGCATATATTGAGAAATGAAAAATACCACGTCTTACAATTGATAGTTAAGGGTAAGATTGAAGGAAAGAGAGGTCTCGGCAGGAAGAAACTATCTTGGTTGAGAAACATCAGAAACTGGACTCACCTAACTTTTGAAGAACTCATAAGGAAAGCCGAGAATCGTGAAGATTTTACCAATGTGATCGCCACCCTCCACGAAAGAGACGACACGTAAAGAAGAAGAATAATAATATATCATTATAGAAACAGTTTTTTGATATGGCTATTAGTTGAGTACTTATGTAGGCCTCTAAGTAGTTTCAGCCCAGGGCCCCACAAATCCACGATCCGCCCCTGTCATTGTGTCTATGATTTGGTGTAAAAGTTCAACAGAAACTGTTTTATCATCATTTTTTGCAGAAAAATATATGATTAATTTAAAAAAATATAAAAATTTCCCAAATTTATTAATTCAGTGAAATAACTATAGGTATCTACACGTGTTTATTTTTCGTTAATAATGACATGGATTGACTATTTTCACTCTAAATATCTTAAGAACGGTGGCTCGTAGCGATTTTTATAAAGAGATATTTTTGACGTAAAAAATATCATATATAATATGTTGAAAATGTATATTTTTTCTCTCGGTAGTTTTTACAGGTACGGATAAAAGTACTACGCTTCAAAACAGTTAAAACACATATAGGTGGCGCCGTCTACTAGTAGTAGTCATATTGACATCAAAATCAAATTTCTCATGTCTAAAACCACCCAGACACCAATTTTCATCCAAATATTGACGTTACTTCAGAAATTATTTGGAAAAAATCGAAATAAAAATGAAACTTCTACATCCTGTATCTCCGAAACGAAGCATTTTAGGACATACATTTATACAATCTTTTTTAATTATTTTTATTTGTAAAATATGTTGCTGAAGTTTCCCGAATACAGTTCGGACCACCCTGTATATATGAAATTTGCTTAAAGTATGATACCGAATGATTCTATCGGTGTTTGCTGACTGGGAAAATAAGTACTGATAATATTCACTGCCTCCTGGACTATTTTAATCACTTATATGAATGCTATAAACGTTTTAGATAATGAGCTATTAACGAGAATTACTTATGAGATTAAGTGTTTTAAACTTAAATTCGGGTGTACCGATAAACAAACAGAAATATTTGAAAAAACAATGTATTTTTACAAAGTATTCCAAAATAAAATACTTTGTTTTTTTTTATACCAAATCTACAGTCTACACTAATCATGTGTCTACATTCTAGTGGACCGAATTTTGTGATTTTTTAAGCAATTTGTAGCTAAATTATTTGACATTTTATCCAATTTTTAAAATTAAAAATTAAAGTTACCAATTTTTGTATATTATACGAGGAACGAAAAACAAAATATTGCTATTTTGACGAAAGTTTGAAACACTCTGTGGAATGGTTTAACAAAGTAAGGAGTTTGAAAACCACTTCATAATCAAGATGTATCTTTTCTCGATAGTTTGTTTCTTGATTCATCTTAATATCTTCATTTTTATTGCAGATATTCGAAAATTTATTTAAAAAACGGCAAAGAGAAAATATGTTTCTTTTATCGAGATCTACCACCCTTGAAAATAGTTGCACTTATTTAAGAGACTTTGTATATACATACATCAAATTTATAAAAAAAAACAAAAATCGACATGAATTTTTTTTCTTCCTTTACATTCGTTAAATAAACAAGTCAATTATCACACTTGATTCATTTCTGCTATTTGCCCATCCTATTTTTAGTCCTAATTACATTACTAAGCATAAGAACTCATAATAATTAATAACTATGTGTCATAATAAAATTACGTTATCAACATGGAAGAATTCGAACCTCTCCTGATTTTTCTGCGAGTACCCGGCAACATCGCAGCTTTACCCAAAGAATATAACATTCCAGAGCCGAAATAAGCAGGTATCATCTTTTGTATGGTAACAGAACACACAGCGTGTGTGGAACAATGCACTGCCAAATTTCAGAGGGTAATTCCCCATCAAAAAATACGAAAAAAAAATTGTGTAAATAAAAAAATGATTTTATAAATATATTATATAATTTATATATTTACACGTCAGTAGATTGAAGCTAAGAAACAATAGCAGAGCTGTCACAAATCGTTTAAAAAACCATTTAAACGATTTTTTTTAATCTCCTATGCCTCAACCTATCAAAAACTAAAGTTTTGTCATAT